AGTTTGCCAAACAAGTGCAAGATAACCCGTCGCAGGTAGCAAATTTCGTCCATCAATTACATGGCCAGTCATATAATTATAGTCTTCATGGTCGAGTAAGATTTCAACGTATCTTTCTCTGGATTTCATAAACCAATTTTCATAGTTCGGTACAAACCAATCTTCATAGTTCGGTACAAACCAATCTTCGGAATGGTTCCATCTAATGTAGGTTTAATTCATCAAAAATATGATAAATTATATTATAAATATATTGCATAATTATACAAACACGTATACAAATACAAGGTGTTCGGTACTCAATAGTAAAGCGCTCGTGGGTAGGTAGAGTGGGCTAAACTAAATTAAAAAATTTTCTACTATTTTGCGATTTTCTCAATAGTTATCGAGAGATTAATTTATAAAGATCGCCGAATGTAAACGAACGGTGAGATACAACCGCTCACCGCGGACCGTGGTCGCCTAGCGCGCGGCGTGAGGTGAGGATAATTGATTGCTTAGCGCGGTCGTATCTCGCCGCTCGTTCACATTCGACGATATTTATAAATTAATATCTCGATAACTATTGTGAATATCGCAAAATGGTAGAGAATTTTTCAATTCAGTTTAGCCCACTCTACCTGCCCATGAGCGCTTTATCGTGACACCCTGTGTTTACTGTATATACTGGTCAAAAAAATTATAGCATAGAAAAATGTTGGGCAAAAATTGATCAACTCGGGCTGACATTAACTCCGCGAAAAATCATTGTAGAATAATAAATTTTTTTTAAATTGAAGCTTGAAATCTCTACTTAAAGGTATTATAAGGTCGATTTTAAATTTAATGCACCTTTACTACTGTAAACTTTTAAATTTGAGAGCATGTTTGTCATATTGAAAATTGTAAAGTTTGACGGAATGCACTTGCTAAAATTTTTCTCGGGAATAATGTTTGTAGCGTCATAAAGCTCGAACTTTTTTCTTTAATTAAAAAAAAAATATATCAAGTCACTACGATATTTTTCATAATATTACAACAGCTTTTTAAGTAACCCTTACATTTTTCTCACATACATTATCCGATGTTCACCATAGAAAGGTTGGCGATCGGATTTTGCACATTGTGTGCTTGCGCACATGTGTAAAACACACGCATACACATAATGTGCAAAAGCAGATCGTTAATTTCCCTTTAATGCACATCGGATAATGCCGACCGTACGTGAGAAAAATACAAGCGTTACTTTAAAATACTGTCATTTTGTAAAAAAAATCGACTTGCT